CTCCCCCTTTTGTAATAACTTTTTATTAATTCAAAAATAACATTTATAAAAACAACAGGAACAACAAAACAAATGTCGGTATTATATCTCTATTTATAGATTCGACAATCAGAGTTATTTTTCATCACATTTAAGTTGATTGGGTGTAAATTAACAAACATAAAATATATTTTATTGTTGAAATTATTTACATTCGAATATTAACATTTTAGTGAATTAATTAACTCACATAATAAATTTATCTTCGTACTAACGTACGATAATAAATTAACAATTTGTATAAATTGAAAATCTTTTAAAATGATATTATTTTAAATTATATTTTAACTAATTTCATCTTTTTTTTAAAAATCTTATTTACAACAAATCTGATTCTCAACTTATTTAAAAAAATACAATTGGACTCTCTCTACGTTGACTTTAATCAATGAATACCTTTTATCAAAAGTTATTATTAATCATTATTAATCAATGTATTAACATAAACAATACAAATAAGTTTATAAACGATCATAGTTATAGTTTTCTTCTGTAAGGTGATTATGTTTATATTCAGTTTAATATAATTAATCATTAGTTAATAGTTTTATTTTGTTATAAAAATTGTGTTTTTAATGTGGAGAATGGAATATACAAGGACACAACACAAACACAGACTTTACTATTAAAATCCATTGTAGAATAGATTTTATTTGAGTAGTACAAGACTTTAGGGACTCTCAATTGAATGATCTGTTGAAAGTATTAAGTGGTGAATCATGTAAATCGAAGAGGAGTTGAGACAAGTGAAAGAAAGGCATTGAACCCTTAAACTTTTGATCCCATTTTCTCTCCTTTTCTGTCGACTAAGTCATGACTTGGATAAGAAGAAGTGACTGGAATGGGTCTTTGTGTATTTTGTTGAGCAATTACACATGTTAGTAATGTTCGTTCAAAGACTTGCTTATAAAGAGCCCCGGGTGATTCACTACTTAGCACTCCTTTTGAGGATTCTTTGCTACAAAGACTTGTTTCAGTCGTTTTGATTTTTCTGTTCTGTCTTATTAAACTGGAATGATTGAAAACCTCTCCTTAAAGGAAATAGAATGCGTAAGAGAAAAGTTGAGATGGTGTTCTGAGTATTCTACAAGAGATGAGTGGCTGACAAGCTTTCGGAGTCTTTTGTAATATGTTTTGGACGAGTGAGACATGTGATCGGACTTGTCTTTATTTGTGGACTTAAAGAATTAGACTTTGTTTCTTGATTTCCCATAGCGGGATTATATTATTTTAATAACTTTTCATTGTTTTGAAAGGGGATTCCTTTGTTATGTGTTTGTCATATATTTTACTTTGTTTTATTACCATTTTTGGTTTGTACTTTATTATTCCTGTTATAACAAGAATGACGTGGTGACTTATATTTTGTGTTGATAAATAATAATAATATTTTATTTATCATAAATAATAATATATTGTTATTAAAGAAGCATTTGTGGTCTAAGGGCAGAATTCCACCCTTCCAAGGTGGAGATCCGGGTTCGAGTCCCGGCAAATGCATTTTTTTGTTTTTTATGTTATAGTTTTTTTATAGATAAAATAAAGGAGAAAATCTTTAAATCTGTTTGAAAATTTTAGTCAATAATTATAAAAAAATGATAAATTAAAAAACACATCTTTTTAGACTCCGTAATGTCTCTTTTTAAACTTCCATCACTTAAAAAGGTGTATCTGGATATTTCAACAATTCGACACTTTGAATATTCAAAAAGTGTTTTCAAGTGGCGTCAATTCACATTTTTTATGTAAGTGGTGGGACATATTTTATTGTTATAAAGATTTAGACGAAAGTTATTTCAAAATTAAGAATTTAAAATATAACTCAAACATCTCGACATACACCAATCGCTTTGGAGACGGTCACATCTTGACGCATCGTGGAATGTATGTGCCCAATAGTGTTACTAATATCAAGGAGGTGTTATTTGATACAATCACTGACGTCATTCACTTGGGAGAAACACTTTGACAAGACTAGAAAACATTAATTTTTCTGCATTCAACTTTGATGAGTGTTAAAAGAATAGTAACACCTATAACATTATCGAACTGGAGGGTAATAAATTGAAGAATTTGTTTGTGAGATATTTAAGATTAATAACAGTTAATGCAGGAACAACGATATTGTTCGATCTTGACAACTTAGATGGGACTTTCAATTTTGTTGCAATTGAAAAGAAAAATGCGACAAAATTAAAAAATGTATGAAGTTGTTATTAAAATAGATAAAAAGAAATACAAAGATTATATATAAGTGAAAGTGAATGATTTTAAATTTGAATGTTTATATATTAATAACAATAGTATAATAATATAATAATATATATAACAATATAATAAATGTATTTAATGGCTATAATGTGATAAATTGTATTTATATAACAAATTTTATATTAATTTAACACTTAAAATATAATCAGACTAGAACATTTCCGCTTTTAATCATTATCCTAACTGTTTTGTCCATAAAAACTGTAATAATTCAAAAAATATTATCAAAAAACACTTTAAAATTATATTTCAAAAATTTATTGAGTTTATATTTTTTTCAAATTCTTTATTTTTTAAACATATTTAATGTATATTTTTGTTTATAAACTCTTTTTACAAACAGTAACATTTTAGACAGTCTTCATATTATTAATAATTATATAAATTTAACTCCACTTATACAATAAAACAATTAAATTTTGTTTTCTTAATATCTTTCTCGTAATTTTCTTGTGTTCTCTGTGCTTCTCCTTGTTCGAACAATAATAACGCTTGTTCATTAATTATATTTGGACACCCCCATGAAAACCATTTTCAAATCTTTTACGGCTTCCAAATTCTGCACATTAGCCAGTTTTGAACACATTTGAAAACAAATCAATGAACAAATCCCATTATTTGCGATGTTAATACTTTCTAATGAGACGCACAAATAAAATGCTCTCTCCCCAATTATATTGACATTTTCAGGAAAGTTGAGTTGTTTGAGTTTTGTGCACGATTCAAACACGTCTTGTTCGTTTTTTAAATCGGGTAAAAATACAACTTTACTGAGACTGCCACAAATTGAAAAACAGCAAACTTCAACAACTTCTAAGTAACTCAGAAGAGTGATTTCTCATAATGAAGTACACATCTCAAAGGCAAATTCACCGATATAAGAGACATGTATTGAAAGCTCAAGACTCTTAGGTTTAAAGCGATGGTAAAAAAAAACCTTTTATTGACCATTTCCTTGATGTGGGAAGGGAAAAACACATAACTCTAATTTTCACGATCACAGAATATAGAGTTTTCTATTGTAACTACACAACTGGGGATAGCACAGGATGATATATATTTATTTCAAAATGTGTTGTTTGAAATACGACTAACTATTTATGGAATTTCATCTTTTGTGTTAGCATCACTACAGTTAAACTCAACGTATGCTGATGTATTTTACTATTTTGTTGTGTTTTAGTTGTTGTGTAATTTACATAGTATTGCATGGAGCGTAGTTCAACTTCATTATCATCAAAAATTTCATCATATGTATATAAACATTATATATATAATAATTGAATATCAATTTAAAATGTAAAAAGTGTGATAAAAACAAAATAACAATAAAACACAAATAATAAAAAGTTATTTAAGTTAATAAACAACAACACTTTTTGGTGTGAATTTGTCATTATCAGTCAACTGGTTGTGTTTGGCAGTGTACACAGATGGTGTGCAATAACCCACGTCCTTGCCTTTCTTGAACACCGCTATATCGTCATTTTTACTCAATGCAAAAAGATATGAAAAGGGTTGAGAACCAATATACAATTCACTATATTTGTAATTTCTACTTTTTCCAAACTTTTTTGGATTCACAATTCCATTTCTCATGAGTGAAAAAATATATGAATTGTTATTGTTAATATTATTGCCAACAGCATTAATATTACCGGTGTACACGCCACCAAATTTATTGTGATTTGTGTCTTCTATCAAAAAGCACAAGTTGCATTTGTTAATGACTTTTGCATCAAATACTGACTTGTTTGTTGACCAGTCGTCTTTGTCTGAGTCAAACACAACATTTTCAATCTTCTTTCCTGTCAATTTCTCAAGACCGTCTTCTTCATTCAGTGTGATGTGTTTGCGTTTCATTCTTTTTTATATTTTTGCTCTATTATTTTTTTCGCTGCAATGAAATATTTAATTTCATTGACTAAGTTGTTCTTTGCTTGTATAATATTGTTGATTGGTCTTCAAATGGTTTTGTGTCGACTTTGCATTTTTCCTCAAGAAGTGCTAT